GTTTGATATAAGAGAGAAACAAAAAACGAAACGGGATTATACAGGAAACTTGAATCGCCAGTTTGTGCCTCTGTTGCACTGTCTGAGCGATTAAATTATTGTATTATTAATTATACATTGTACAAAAAATTTGTCACAAAAAGAAAAGAGAAGAATGAAGAGGGATTATTATATGACTTATAAATGCTTAAGCATGCTTTGCAATCATACATAGATGGTATAGAAATGAGTTTCGAGGTGCGCTGCTTATCACAGAACGAACTGAATTTTATGTGAATTTATATCATACGAATACCATCTAAAATTCAGAATAGCAAAATTCATTTAATTTAGAATTGGATAGGATTCTTAACGTTCGATTATAATTACCGTAAATTCATTAAGATCTATTTATATAAATATCCGCAGATTAATGGTAAAGTATCCTTTTCATTAATAATATCAAAAGGTAAAAGGATCTTAAAGTATGTTTTGTAACTTTATAATACATTGAAATTGCACAGAATCGTGGGAAATGTAATTAAACTATGTAAGGGATGAGACAAAATGAAAAGAAACGTTATTAAATACTTTAGGGAAAAACTGAGAATATGTAAGTAAAATGCAATCTGCGAAAACTTTGTAAAAAAAATGAATTTCTATCAAACTAAATTTATAAGATCAGAAGTAGTCTTAGCACTATTACTAAATTTACAGTTGTAGAAAAAAATTGAAGCGATGTAAATAGCATACAGATAGAAAAGAAGTGGTTCGTGAAAATATTAGGTTTTATCCAAATTGTAGTGGTAGATTAATAGAAGTATTTGTGCATGGAAAAATCTGATGAAAATAGTCATTCAACCACAAAACAATGTAGTGTCATTACTATTACTGATTTTGTATTAAAGCCTGAGTGTTTTTTTCTAGCTTTTGCTTAAAGTTCACAAGCACGAGACACGTTTTATTAAGTATGATTGAAAAGCATGCTGGACCATCTTCGGACCACTTTATGGTTCAAATTTAAAGCGTGTGGAATAGTTAAAAAGTGCGAGGAGAGTAACTGACACATAAACGTGGAGGAAATGTGAGTAATAAATTGAACATGAGAGGTGCGAGTATGCATGTAAAAATGAAAAGAAAACATAATTAACGATATTGCCTTGATTTGTAAATAAAACTTAATTACTTCCACTAATGAGAATCTTCTCTGCGAATACCGAACGAGCCGTATTCGGCCCACGTGGGCTCAGCCTCCACGATTTCGTATCTTTTTTACTAAAGTTGCGGCTGATTTTTTAACAGCAAAATATTTTGTACAGTAACGAGAACGTAAAATAATAATATTAAATAATGATAAAAAAAACGGCGGAGGTGAGCCCTGTTGTGCGTCAACCA